CATATACCAAAATCATATAAAACTCTATTAAGTACTCCAAAAAACTTACAGATACGTGAATTTAACGATGGATCACAGATATGGTATAAAGGTATTAAAAAAAATTTGAATGCTATACAACTGGAACAATATTTACATGTACATGCTAAAATTGTAATTGATATTAACATAGATGGATTACCATTATTCAAATCCTCCAAGATGAAATTTTGGCCAATTTTAGGCTATCTTATAAAGACCAAAAATGATCCATTCATTATTGCCATTTATTTTGGACGAAAAGATCCTCAAGACCTAAATACTTTTCTTATAGAGTATGTGGATGAAGTAGAAGATTTGCACAATAATGGTTATATTTTTAACAATAAGAGATATTCATTTCAAATAAGACATTACATTTGTGATGCACCTGCTCGTTCTTTTGTGAAGTGTTGCATAGGTCATTGTGGCTATGCTTCTTGTGAGAAATGTACTGTAATAGGCGAATGGTTTGAAGACAGAGTGACATATATTAAAATGGATGAAGCTCTAAGAACAGATTACTCATTTCTACAACAGACTCAACTTCAACATCACCAAGGACATTCTATATTAGAAAGAATTAATACAGGAATGGTATCACAATTTCGATTAGATAGTCTCCACCTTGTGTATCTGGGTGTTTTTAAGAGATTACTCACAGCTTGGTTGAAGTGGAATGGTCCATGGAAACTTCATAGAACTGTTGTTGTTGCAATATCAAGAATGTTACAGTCTGTCTTAGACTATTGCCCTCAAGATTTTAATAGAAAGCCACGATCATTAGAAGAGCTGAAACTTTTCAAAGGAACGGAGTTTCGTCGATTATGCCTGTACGATGGTATCCTTGTTTTTAGAGATTTTTTAAATGAAGGCATCTACAAGAATTTTCTTTTATTACATTCTGCTATATATATATTATCAAGTCCTATCCTGGTTCATTCTATGAGTGACTATGCAAATCAATTGTTAAGAACATTTATTACACATAGTTCCACCATATATGGAAAAAAGTTTGTAGTATACAATGTTCATGCACTATCACATTTGGCAGAGGAATGTACTTTACACGGCCATTTAGATCAATATAGTGCATTTAGATACGAAAATTTTCTGAAATCCATTAAGGACACACTTAAATCTGGATACATGCCTTTACATCAAGTTGCTAATAGAGATTCAGAAAGGAATACGTCTATACCAATTATATTAGAAATCAATGGTCAAGAAATTAAATTATCCAAAAAATAAACACCACGAACGGAAGTTCTGTATGGAGTACACTACAAGCGAATTTCTATAGATAATGTTGTCCTACATACTGGCAAAAAGGACTCGTGTTTACTAACAACTTCTAATGAAGTAATAATTCTTGAAGATATCATTTGTAATGAGAATGTCATATCTTTAGTGGGAAGATTATTTCAACAAACTAATGATTTTTACACGTATCC